TCAAATATTTTATTTATTTTTGCAGAATATTACTTAATTGATTTATTTATAATCTCTAACATACAAAAGTGGTAGATTTGTATGATCTCTTCAATTATTTTGTTAACTTTGAAAATTATGATATATTTATTATGTTGATTAAAAGATTATGAACGGAACATATTTTAAATATTTCGTTGCAGAAATGAATTTTGAATGACAAATTAGTTATTTTATTCAATATATTTTTAAATACTTTTGTTTGATATTAGTTAATAATATAATAAATTTTGGTTGTAATATCTATGTATATCATGCTACTTTCTATGATCCAAGTTTTTTTTGAAATTATATAAAAGAGTTTTATATTTTGATATAACTATTTATTCTTTGTTTATGAATCATTTTGAGATGATACTATAATATTCTAAAAGTCATTAAAGTTTAATACCTCTATTCACGAGGATAAATGTCACATTCTCTTCGAGGTTAATTGTATTTGATTATTTATTAATTTGAATCTCTTGTGACTATTTTATATAATAATTGCATACAAGGAGGAATTTTTTAAAATATTATTCACTTCCTTTTGAAATTAAAATTATACAATTATATATATATATATATATATATATATATATATATATATATATATATATATATATATATATATATATATATATATATATATATATATATATATATATATATATATATATATATATATATATATATATATATATATATATATATATATATATATATATATATATATATATATATATATATATATATATATATATATATATATATATATATTGAAATCTTATTATTTTATGACTTTTATTATGGAAAATTAAGTAATCAATATTAATTTGTATAATTGTAATTTCACCTATCGTGGATACTATTATATAAATTTTCCTATTTTGAATAAAATATAATTAATCTTAATTTGCATGATTGTAACTCACCTATCGTGGTATAGTTATTCAAATTTTGTTAAATTAATTTTAGTTATAATAAATATTATATTGATAATAATTATACCCTATCGGTATATTATTATTAGTATAATTTGTTTTGTTTAATGCACTTATGATTTATGATTGTGTAAATTATAGTTCAAGTACCTTATCGGTATTAGAATTTTTGATGACATAATATTTATACATTGTTATATTTCTTATTTCATATTGTTGAAAGTATTATTTAAGAAAAAAAAAAAATATATATATATATATATATATATATATATATATATATATATATATATATATATATATATATATATATATATATATATATATATATATATATATATTTTGAAGACGTGTAATACTTTATGAAATCCAATAATTTTTTTTTATTAAAATGGATTTCAATTCTCTATGTATAATGTGAGTGATGGACATACTCTATCGGGTGTGACGTTACCTGAATGATTATTGTGTGATACAGAAAATAGTTGGATATTTGTTTAAATATTTTAAAATTCTAATATTAATAATTCAACTATTATTCTCTATCAAGTGGGAGAATTTAACATGTCAATTATATAGATTTCAGAAACAAATATTATTTGTTTAATATATAATATTATTTTATAAAGACTTATATTGAGAATATTTTAGTCTTAAGTTATATCCTCAATATTATATTTGATTAAAGTCTCATATTTTCCACTGCGTATAACGAAATATGTTTCTCAAATGTGTGTAGTTATACTTATAGCATTTGAGTTTTGAGGAAGTTAGTAATTTGATTTCACTCAAAAGATGGTAAATCTTTTATAGGACCATCATATTCTTTCATGTAAATTATCTAAATAAAGATATATTATATTGACGTGCAAAATATGTGGTTGAGTTTGATGATATATTATAGAACCACTTCTCTGTATAATTTTGCACTAAAAATAACATTAGCACCCCCGTTGTTCAATCAAAGTATTTAATATTAGTGGCATCTGATAAATCCTTATCATATTGGATTAGTTGGAGTGGATTACATGTGAACACAATCATATAATCTAAAATTTTGGATTATTATTCTCATAGTGTCATATATTCTTGCGCACACTGTAAATATGACATATTCTAAAAGGACTTCAAAATATAAAATAATTATAAGAAGTCTTATTCTGTTATACTGAGATATATATTATTCTCTTAATCTCAGAAAATAACATAATTTGATGTTTAGGTTGATATTGAAAAGACACAATAATTCTTTATCGTGCAATAATATTGTGTTATTATATCTTCAATAGTCCACATTTGTCAGATCATAATATGAAAGTACAAGTAAATATCATTACTCCTATCGAGTATGATATTGTGTTATGAAGGTACTTATAATTAAATGTAATTACTTTGTTAATAGGGTATTCCTATATGTAATTACTATTCTTAGACCTATGTGGATACTCTATGACCTATAATTTAAAACTCATTAATATAATCACTAACCATAGACTTATACACATGAGTAAGTCTTATGATACTTTGGGTTAGTGGGAGTTTATCAATAGCATTTTCATATGTTTGGGCCGTTCTTTATAACATATTACTTTGAAGTTAAATATGTTACTCTAAAGTCATCATTTTTATATAAAGTTGTAAGTTTTAACATGTATGACTTGTCTTCCTTATCGGATACAATTTCTGCAGCGATGAAATTTACTTCTTTTGATTGATCCGTGTTTTGACCATTATTGATATTCTAATACTAGAATCAATATTTTTAATAATTAATTATTGTCATCCAAGTGGGAGATTGTTAGATTAATTATTTAATTAATCAAATATGGATTGATATAATTAATTATTAATTAATTATATTATGTTCTATTGTTATTAAACACTAAATATATGAATTGTTTGATTGGGTTTTGTACCTGAATGGACCGTAATGGGTTGCATCATTCAGTTAAGCCCAATGAGAGGTCTCTGCCCTCAGCCGTTTAGCTATTTAAGTGTCTCCCCATTAGACAATTAAACTATTCTGAAAATTCTAAACGGCAATAAGGGTAGTAATTCTCTCATACTCACAAGCTTCAACAACCGTCTCTTCAATTTTATAAGGTACACCGTTCTAATTATTCTTGATTATTGTTAGATTAAACAATATGCTATAATTTGTATCTATTAAATTTGATTAAAGTCCTTCAAATAACATGAATGAGATTTCCAATTTGAAGCTTGTCTTAGATACTAAATTCAGTATCAAAACCAGGCATTAGCTACTAAACCAGGCATTAGCTAAGGCTACCTATGATGGCTACTATGTCCCTACAGGACCTTAGAATTCATGATCTCAAACCTGCTCAATCTTTTAAGATAACAGGTCTGCAATCCACTTTACAAACAACCCTATTTTTCCCAATCGCACTAAACATATTGAAATTGAGGGTCATGTCACCTGTGACAAAGTTCAAACAAAACATAATACACTTAATCCATTCTACAAACCGTGTCGCAAACACAAAACTTCCTCCATGGTCCCTTAAGTGTTGTGTTTCAAATTTTAGCCTGCATAACATTCACTCCAATTTGAAGGAGGGGTTAAAGATCAATGAAAGTTTCTAATACATACTATTGTTTAATTATGCTATTAAACTTTGTATTTTTTGTCATTAGTTTAGTGGCTGAAATTCACCTTTTAAAGGTGAACAGGTAGGATATTATAGGTTCAAACTCACACTCTTATATTTAAAGTCTATTTAGGATATTGTAGATTCAAACTCACACTCTTATATTTAAAGTCTTTGCACAACTACGCTTAACAGGTTGTATTTTATTTAGATATTGTTACAATTAAGTGGTTATTTAAATGTTTAATTGTGCTATTAAATGTTGAATTTTATTTAGATATTATTACATCTAAGTGGTTAGTTAATTCTGTTACATAACTACCACTATTTTTATGCTAATTAGTTAGACGTTGCTCATATTGTTCATATTGTTTAATTTCTTGGTACTATTTCTGATTTGGGAATGACACGTTTTATGGTGTCCTATGGACAAGTTTTAACCGAGTTTATTTAATTACTTTGATGGTTTTAGATTAATTTAAACAACAGTATTTTTAATCAGATTGGGAGGTCTTTATAAGTAGGTAAGCTGATATTAGGTAAGTCTGAAGGAAAAACTAACGCATTGTTATGCAATACTGATGTAGTACAAAAACGTTGTTGAGATTGTGAACTGAAGAAGTTTCTGTTGAAAGAGGAGAAAAAGCTCAAAAAGAAGGAATTAAAGGATGAGCAGGTCCAACAATAAAAGGATAAAAATCATCTGCAAATCAATGCCTCCACTTAATCCTAATTGTTTGTGCTTCTAAATCATCACCACTTACCTCATTGTTTGTCCTTCTCACTCATCACCAATTAATCAGTACCCTCGTCAAATATATAATAGTTTTATGCTAGCAAACTGTCATTTTAATTTGTATTTCTTCAACTATAACTTTCGATGTTAATATTGTAATGAAAAGAATTTATTTTATATAGTGCGATTTTATTTTCCTTCATAAATCACAATCCAGCCTAATCCTTTTTTTTTAAATCTGTATTCAGCCATATTATTTGCAAACTGCTAAAAGGGAAGTGCCGAGAATCAGTAAAGTGCATTATTATTCATTCATAAGGGGATCCAATTGGCTTCCAAAAATTTGATTCATAAGGGGATCCAATTGGCTTCCAAAAATTTGATTCATAAGGGGATCCAATTGGCTTCCAAAAATTTGATGCGAAGGAAATTTTGCTTTCTACTGAATACTCCTACGAAGTACTATCAGGCATTCAGGATAGTTAAAACTAAGTCAAATTTAACGAAACTAGATCATGCAACAAACTGATATTAAATTCATTAAAGTATGCCCAAACTTGCATTTAATTAATAGCGCCAATAGTGCATGATAAAAATAGCAAAAACATAACCCAAAAAGTAAAAAAATCTAAGAGTCATCAACAAAAGCTTAATTCCTTCAAAAAAAAAATAAGATAATTAAACCGCAACTTAATCAACCTCTTCCATCTTGCTTCCCTCAGCATCAGCATCAGCTTCTTCCAATGGAGGCATATCAGCATCAGCTTCTGCGGCATCATCGTCAATGCTCAATCCAAGCTTCAACATTCTGTGGATCCTGTTTCCAAAAGTGTTTGGCTCATCAAGGCTGAACCCAGAAGTGAGAAGAGCGGTCTCAAAGAGCAAAAGTACAAGGTCCTTCACAGACTTGTCATTGCGGTCAGCATCAGCACGCTTCCTCAGCTCCTCCATGATGGAGTTCTCTGGGTTGATTTCCATTGTTTTCTTGCTAGACATGTAACCAGCCATGCTGCTGTCCCTCAAAGCCTGAGCCTTCATGATTCTCTCCATGTTAGCAGTCCAGCCATATTCACCAGTTACAAGACAGCATGGTGAATCAACAACACGGTCAGAAACAATAACCTTCTCAACCTTGTCACCCAAAACCTCCTTAATCACCTTGCAGAGATTGTCAAACTTCTCCTTCAATTCTTCCTGTTTCTTCTTCTCATCCTCAGTTTCTTCAAGTTTCAAACCCTCCTTGGTAGCAGATACCAACTTCTTTCCCTCAAATTCCTTGAGTTGACCAACAGCATACTCATCAATAGCATCAACCATATACAGAACTTCATATCCCTTCTTCTTCAACTTCTCCAAGAATGGAGAGTTCTCAACAGCCTTCTTACTTTCACCAGTAATGTAGTAGATATCACTCTGTCCTTCCTTCATCCTCGTGACGTAGTCCTTGAGACTGGTCTGCTCGTCACCACTCTTGGTGGAGTGGTACCTAAGAAGTTCAGCGATCTTTCCCTTGTTCTGAGAATCCTCATGGATACCAAGCTTCAAATTCTTAGAGAAAGCCTCATAAAACTTGTTGTAATCCTCCTTGTTCTCAGCAATTTCAAAGAAAAGTTCAAGACACTTCTTAACCAAGTTCTTGCGAATAACCTTCAAGATCTTGTTCTGCTGCAATGTTTCTCTTGAGATATTGAGAGGAAGATCCTCTGAATCAACAATACCTTTAACAAAGGCAAGATACTCAGGAATCAACTCCTCACAGTTGTCCATGATAAAGACCCTGCGAACATAAAGCTTAATGTTGTTGGGCTTCTTCTTTGTGTCAAAAAGGTCAAAGGGTGCCCTCTTGGGTACAAAAAGAACAGCCTTAAACTCAAGTTGACCCTCAACAGAGAAGTGCTTGACAGCCAAATGCTCTTCCCAATCATTTGTAAGACTCTTGTAGAAAGCAGAGTATTCTTCCTTTCCAATCTCTTCTGGCTTCCTCATCCAGATAGGCTTTTGCTTGTTCACCAAATCCCATTCATGAGACACCTCCTTAATAGTCTTCTTCTTTTTCTCCTCCTTCTCCTTCTCTTCATCAACTTCCTCTACTTTACCCTCCTCATCCTTCTTATCTTCCTCATCCTCATCATCAGAAATCTCCTTTTCAATAGTCTTCTCAATCCATAGAGAAATTGGGTAACTAATGAACTCAGAATGCTTCTTAACCAAGTCCTTCAAACGACGCTCCTCAAGGTACTCGAGCTGATCTTCCTTAAGGTAAAGGGTGATCTTAGTACCCCTTCCAAGAACCTCACCAGAAGTATCCCTAGTAACAGTGAATGACCCACCAGCCTGGGACTCCCACACATACTGTTCATCATCATTGTGCTTGGTGGTAACAATCACCTTCTCAGCAACAAGATATGCAGAGTAAAAACCAACACCAAACTGTCCAATCATGCTAACATCAGCACCGGCAGCAATAGCTTCCATGAATTCCTTGGTACCAGACCTTGCAATGGTACCCAAGTTGTTCACCAAATCTACAACAATTAAAAAAGCAGCACAACAGTATTAGAATCAATCACATTAACAACCAATCAAAAATTCTATAATGAAAAAACAGCATCATCTTACCAGCTTTGGTCATTCCAATACCACTATCAATAATGGTCAAAGAGTTGTTTGCCTTATCAGGAATGATATGGATAAACAACTCAGGTTGCCCATCAAGCTTGCTCTTGTCTGTCAAACTCTCAAAACGGATCTTATCCAAAGCCTACATTGTTACATAATCAAAATCACATACAACATTAATGAAGAACAAATAATCATTTCTACAGATTAATTTTTAAAGGAACGCATATACAGATCAAAACATCCACATCAGTTCAATTGCATATAATCATCACACTATCCCATATCACTAAGCGTAATACATAGCATTTAACGTGTCAACCTAACAAATCTAACATATTAAAAAAGTTAACCCTTAAACTTCAAGGTGCTTTTAAGCTAATTTACAACCTAATAGACAAATAATTGTGAAAACACTATTAATCAATTTCAATTTAAATGTATAACATGTATAAATCACAGATCAAGCAGAAAAAGAACATAACCGGCATCAAAAAACCTTAAAAAACGAGTAAATCAGAAGCTTACATCAGAGGCGTTACTGATAAGTTCCCTTAGAAAGATCTCCTTGTTGGAGTAGAAGGTGTTGATGATAAGACTGAGAAGCTGGTTGATCTCGGCCTGAAAGGCAAACGTCTCGGTTTCAGACATGGTAGATAGATCTGTTGAAGAGAGAGACTGAGATAGGTTGTGGAGGAGGAAGAGTTAGGGTTTTGAGAGAGAATTATATGTGGAGAAAGAGAAATGAGTTGTTATATAGGGAGGAGTTTAGTAGGGTTCTAGATCCTTCGGTGACGATTTGTATAATGCCGTTGGGAAGACTTGACTTCTAGATCCTTCGGTGACGGACTCCCGATTTAAGTTGCGAGTTAGTAGGCGGGCTTGGGCCGAAATTAGAATGGGAATTATATTGCATAGTTCACATTGTTATTCTCGATCTTTCTTTAATATGTTTTATAATTTGCTTTTGCATAACAAATTGAAAAAAATTTAGATGAGACACTAAATTTTATTAAAAAAGAAATTTTTATTTTTATTTTTAAATGATTTTCTATTAATTATTGATATTTTTTTGTATAAATTAATTCAAAGGCATCATAATGGATCATTGGTGTTTCGAGCGGGTCATAGCTCGGTCAGCTCGTCGAGTCGTGGTCTAGATGCGTACGTCCACAAATAATTGAAGGAGAACATGTCAATCTAAGTGTCTATATAGGACTAGTATTTTTTTTAATCTTTTAAGGAAGAAATTGTCTCTTCTTATAGATGTTAAGCGTGGCAACAAGGAGTGGCGGGGACGGGTTTTGCCTTCCCCATACCCAGACCTAAATCCTATTTGTTCTAAACTGGGCTCAGGCCTGTCCATCCGTCGGGCAAAGTCAGCCCAATTTTATTTGAGGAATTCCCCACAAGGCCTAAATCCCCTAGTGTCGGGCACGGTTCTGGACAGGGTCGGGCAGGCGTTTTCCCCCGTCGGACAGAACTACACGTCTTCCCCACGTTCTCCACGTGCTCCCCCCGCGGGAACACGTCATCAGGAAACTACCCACCTCCGAAAGAGCTGGTCAGCCCACCTTCCGAAGGTCACAGGACGGTTGAACTAGTGTGAAGATCACGTGTTGGTCTTCACTACACCACGTAAGTCCTAGCAGTCACTTGGGTTGGGCCTGGTAATCCAGCCCAACACAAATGACCGTTGGCCCTGCGCTGGGGTCTCTCTATAAATACCATCTTTCACTAGAGGGTCAGGTATTCAATTCTCTACCTCTCTTCTGTATTTGCTTTCACTTTGGTCCCTTACTTACTTTGGCATTGGAGTGTCTTACAGGTACACCCCTCTCCTCCTGCCTACTTCCGGTGAACAGTCTTCAGATCAACGACGCGTGGCAGGTCTCTGATTCCTTTCTGATCAGGTGAGATCAGTGGCGCTGTTTGTGGGAATCTAAGCTTCCTCGTTCCTCCGAGCAGAAGAACTAAAGCTTCCAATTTCAAATTCCAAGATCATGACTAGCCCACGACACGATGATGATGTCCACAACTTCGCCTTCGCCCAATCACCAACCGCGACGACCAAGCGGGGACATCCCACGCCCGTGAGGGCGACACTAGGGATGGCCAGACTGCCTCTCCCTCGTCCGAGGACGCGGCACATCACGTTGTACCCCGAGCGAGGAGCCTGGTTGTCTTCTAACCCGTTCCTACACCAGCTGGAGCGGACCCAACGGTGACTGCCCTCTTCGCAACCATCAACCAAATGAATCTGATATTGTTCCAGCAGAACGAGCGCATCGACGTGTTGGAGCAAGATACCTCGTCCCGCTCTCCCCCGGGGAGAAATCAACGCGGAGACTCCCAAAGCCCCTCTCCCCGTCCACGGGGGCGACGGCCACAACTGGAGAGGCCTCAACCTGTGGCCTCCAAGAAACGCGTCCGGTCACCTACCCGGAGGAGAGGCGTTCCCCAGTCGCAAGAGCGAACAGGCCGGAATCCCTGGGCAGGAGGTCGAGAGGACGTAACCAACCCCCTCGACACAATCCATCGCTCTCGCGCTCCCCTGTCTGCAGTGACGAGGACGACTACAGGACCCCCTGTTGCGAGAGGAAATCATGGCAACCCCCATCCCCCATGGATGGAGAAGCCGCTCGTACTCTCTGCGTACGACGGTACCTTGGACCCGGACGACCACCTAGAAGACATCAAGGCCATGCTCGACTACAGAAACGTCCGGGGAGCGATCAAGTGCAGACTCTTCCCGACGATGCTAAGGAAGGGAGCCATGACTTGGTACAAAAGTCTGGAACCTAAGTCTGTCACATCGTGGAGGATCCTGAAGGATCTTTTCTCACAATATTTCACAGCATCCCGATGGCATCTAAAGACGGAAGCCGCCCTTGGCGCAATCATCCAAGCCCCGGAACGAACCTCTCAGAAACTACATTGAGAGATTCACTAGGGAAGCAGTCCAGGTGACGACTTCAGACAATATGAAGTGTTACCTCATGGAGCAAGGCCTACATCGGGGCTCTAAATTCTATGAGGTCGTGGCGATCCACCGACCAACCACCCTACAAGGATTCCTCGAGAAAGCCCGCCATTACATCCGGTACGAGGAAACCGAGGCTGCTAATGCTGCCCGGGAATCCCACAACCACAACACCCCCGCGGGTCTCGAGAAGAAGGAGCGTCAGCCCCCCGACGTGGGGGAGACTGACGACGAGACGATCGTCTCCGAGAGCCCCGCGAGTAGAAGGACCCTGTAGGGCGTTTCACCGAGTACACAGCCCTATTTACTTCCCGCGAGCGCATACTAGCTGAGTGCGCCAACTCGGAGTTCGTCCGAGGAAGTGTCCGTTTTCCCAAACCGGCACCCCCCAAGGCCTACGTGGACAAGTCCAAATACTGCCGCTTCCACCGGGGCCACAGGCACGTTATAGAGGATTGCATCCACCTGAAGGATGCAATCTAAATACTCATCAAGGATGGACACTTGAAGAGATACACCAGGGGGGAGATGCCCTTCGACAAGAGGCCCACGAAGCCAAAAGAGTCGAGGACATCCCTCTTCCTGCCAACGAATTCGGGCTACAGGTGGCCCTCAGCGTTAGTCGGGCGGAAGACTGGTTCGCACTAAGAGAACACAGCCTCCCTGCCAGGCATCAGCTTCCCGAAGAACCAGTACACCCCATCAGCCCGTGGGAATACTTCCCCAAGGCGATGATCATCTCAAGCGGGACCCCGAGTAAGCTCTTTGTCGGGTCAGTAAAGAGGAATTTTTGACGAGCTGATGAACAACAACTCCAGCAAAATAAGCACGCTCGACAAATTCCACGGTCGGTCTAACCCGATCACATACTATCTCGAAGAGCTCCCCGGGGTGTTTACTGTGAAATTTGGTAAACAACCTCTGGTCTATCAATTTTGGGTAAAATTGAGTAACTTGCAGGATCGACCATACAAATCCTAGGACATGTGCTAAGTTTAAAAGAAAAACCTAAATTAAAATCCACATTCGACTGTAAAACTTTCTAAAACAACTTGGAAATTAGCAGTTGTAAAATAAAGAGTGCAGTTCTTAAAGCGTCGAAAGTAAAAGGCAAGAGGTAAAAGACGTTGAAATAAAGGCAAGAATGTTAAAAGACTTTGAAAATAAAGGCAATAATGTTAAAAGACTTTGAAAATAAAGGCAAGAATGTAAAAAGACTTTGAAAAATAAAGGCAAGAAAGTAAGCGCGTAAGACGTCGAAGGTAAAAGCAATAACGTAAAAGTGCAGGAAAGTAGTCGTCGAAAGCAAGTAAAAAGACTTTGAAAATGACAAGTTTAAGGGAAAGCGCAGAAGGTTAAATGGCAAGTTAAGATAGAGTGCAGAAAGTTAAATAGCATGGAGTACAAATGAAAAATAAAGTTTCAAGCAAGAACATGAAAGGTAAAGGTTAAAGGAGAACATGCAAGATAAAATGATAAAGGTATATAAATTGCATTGATGAAAAGAAATGGTGTTGCATCACGTACATTCTCTCTAACTCGTTTCTCTACACACGGGTACTTAGAGTGATTTGGAGTAACTCGTACAAGACAAATGAACACCCTTATTATATGGAAATAACCCCTATTTATAATGCTAGAGAATAACTGCTAAGTAACGATTGCTGCTTCAAACGTGTCTTTTGGTGCTTCTCTTGATTTCAACTGTTCCCACTTCGCCAGCTGCTCTTTTGAAATTCAAATATCAGGATTTTCCCTCAAGCCTTAGTGGTGACTACAGCGCGCTTTTTCCACCAATTTGTGGTCGAAGAACTATCAAACACTTAGCAAATTTTCAGAAGTTTTCACAACCTCTCTTCGACTCAGGCTTTACCAAATACTGGGTCGAAGCCTTCTTATGTTTGAACACGCTTGTTTTTGACTTGAGATGACTCTTGATTCTGCTGACGTCGAAAATGAGAGCTAACAAATTGCCCCCAAGAAATTCCCTTTTCGCCAACTTTGGTCAGAAGGTCGTTTCTTATAATTATTTCGACGCATACGCCTTGCATGGCCTTGACTGAACAACCCACTACTTATTTTAGTGGCTAACTGATTAATTTCTTTAACCCACGCTTATGATGTCACGTCATCATGACAAACCCTTAAACGTCTCTTCAGACGTATTCATCATCACTTTTTCTTGAAAACATATATTTGCAGTCTGACCATAACTGCTAACACTCATCATTTATCCAGAGAAAGACATGCGTCCCACTACCCAATTAACTTCAACGGTGGATTCAAAGCTCTTAGGATTCCCAAATGCCTATAAATACTCCTCTCCGCTATTTTGTAAACTTTTTACACTCCCAGAATCTTAAGCACCTTATCTCTTTTTCTTCACAAAAAAAAAATCACAAGACCCAGAAAGCACCATTTCCTTTTACTTCTTTTAACAATGGCCTCTTCCCAAGCCAAGCCAATCTTCAAGAGAAGAAAACCCAAAAGGGCATAGTTACTAAATTTAAGCAATACATTCCACCATTTGCAAATGTTCCTGGCCCCTAACTAGTGAATAATCGCCAATGCATGCCAGAACTCACCACTGAAGCGGCACGAAGCATCTACAAATATCAGGTAATGATTCCTTTGATTATTTCTGATAAACCATATGCACTTTCTGGTC